TGGAGGTTCCTCAAAAACTTAAAGATAGAATTACCCTACAACCCAGCAATAGCACTACTAGAAATGTATCCAAAGGATACAGGAGTGTTGATTCATAGGGGTGCATGTACCCCAATGTTTATTGAAGAACTTTCAACAATAGCCAAATTATGGAAAGAGACCAAATGTCCATCAACTGATGAATGGATAAAGAATAAGTAGTATATTTATGCAAGGAACACTACTCGGCAATGAAAGACAATGAAATCTTGGCATTTGCAACAACATGGATAGAACTGGAGGGTATTATGTCAAATGATATAAGTCAGAGAAAGAGAGATATCATATGTTTTCACTCATATGTGGAAGCTGAGAAACTTAACAAAGGACTAGGGGGAAGGGAAAATATAGTTACAGAGAAGGAGGCAAACCATAAGAGATTTTTAAATACAGAGAACAAACTGAAGGTAGAAAGGGATGGGGGGGCAGAGAAGTGGGGGAAATGTGTGATGGGCATTGACGAAGGCACTTGGTGGAATGAACACTGGATCTTTTATGTAAGTGATAAATCATGAGAGTCTACTCCCAAAGCCAAGAGCACACTGTATTCACTGCTAACGCTAACTTGACAACAAATTATATTTAAAAATAAACATAAAAAATAAATATATAAAACCTTACAAAATGATACTGCAAGGACACAACAGAATGTTTATAATCAAAATACTGAATAAAATGGTGAAAATGAGAAGAAATGAAATACAAAAATGTACAACCACTTTAGAAAACAGTTTTGTAGTTTCTTACAAAGTTAAACATGTACTTAAACCCAGTCATTCTACTCCTAGGTATATACCCAAGAGAAATGGAAACAGATCTACCAAAATGATTTTAGTGTATGTGCATGGCAATATCATTCTTAATAGCAAGAAATTAGCAATATAAATGTATATCAACTATTAAATGAATAAATAAAATGTGCTATATGCATGGAATACTATTCAGCAATTAAAAAGGAGCTAACTATCAATACATGCAACAATGTAAATGAACCCTAGAAACATGCTAGATGAAAAAGCTACACACAAAATACTACATATTTTATGATACTCTTTACATGAAATTTCTAGAAAAGGAGACTGTACAGAAAGAAAGCATATCACAGGTTGCCTAGGGTTGGTTGTAGGAGTGAAAATTGACTCTAAACAGCCATAAGGAATCTAGATTCTGATGATGGTTACACATTAATAAACTTACTAAATATCACTGAACCACAGAGTTTATTCTAATAAATAGTTGAATTTTATAGTGTGTAAAGTTAAGCTCTTAAGAAAGTCCATGTAATTTCATAACTATTAGGCAAATGAACTTAAAGTGGGTATACAGAAAGAAATTGATTTAAATTTTAAAAAATTGGATTTGAGATATTTAGCCAGGATCCAGGAGAGAGCTAGACATCATCATGGTATACACGTTATTAAAAGTTTTCTCCTAAGTCTGTCAGCCCAAATTATGGAATTAAATAAAAATAGAAAATAAAATGTTATAACAATAGGTAATGCTAAGTGGGTTATAAAGATGTAACCTCCTTTACTATTACAAGTGAACATCTTTCACAAGCATATTAAATTTCTTTTTCCTGATTGTCTTTTTTAAGGCCAAGAGGAAAGCTCCCACCCCAGTCGGAAGGTTTTAAGTCTTCCCTTTGAAGAGACGGACATTTGCACTGTCTACTCTTGCAGTATAGATGATACCAGTGACAAAATCAGAACTCAGAAGGTGGGTTTTAGGAGGGAGAAAAGATTCTAGATTCTTTCTAGGCCTTGACTTTGGAGTCTGAGTAGTGATGGAGTTGCATGGGAGTGGAGACTACAGAAGGTCACTGACACAATGCAGTTATATTAAAAATTAAATGAAGGGAGCTTGGGTGGCTCAGTTGGTTAAGCATCTGACTTTCGATTTCAGGTCAAGTCATGATCTCACAGTTCATGAGGTTGAGCCCCATATTGGGCTCTGCACTGACAGTACAGGGCCTGTTTGGAATTCTCTCCTTCCTTCTTTCTCTGCCCTTCTCTTACTCATGTACTCTCTCTCTTTCTCTCAAAATAAATAAATAAGCATTTAAGAAAGTAAATAAATAAAAATAAAATGACTTCAGCCTGAGACCATGAAACCTAAAAAGAAATTTTAAAACAATAACCAAGGCATACTTGATTTAGTCCCTTCTCAGGACATAATACGAGTTTAAAATGAGGGGTGGAAAGGTTTTTGAAATGTTCAGATTAATTTGTAGGAGGCAGAAGAATTTGCTGGATTGAAATTACCTGGATTGGGATACTGCTGTGTGTCCAGAATTTATCTCAGTACTTACAGTTTATTCTCCAGTCTCCACCTAGCACATTGCCTGGTACATACTAGATAATCAATCTACATATAGCTGATGAATGAATGAACACCTTATGATTTTCAAAGTTTTTTGGGGGGGATTCAAATTTTATTGATTAACTTATTGAATATGTAACATCTATTGACAAACACTGATCTGTAACATGCATGTTGGTGTCATTTGTGGATGGACCTAATAAACAGACCAGTAGGATAGCTGGGTTAGGCATTTCTTACATTTTTATTTTATTTTAAAAAGTATGTATGTATGTATGCATGTATGTATTTTGAGAGAGAGAGAGAAAGCATACATGCAAGCAGGAGAGGCCAGAGAGAGGGAGACAGAGAATCCCAAGCAGTCTCCAGACTGGCAGCATAGAGCCCAATGCAGAGCTTAGTCTCACAGACCCATGAGACCATGACCTGAGCCAAAATAAGAGTCAGACATTTAACTGACTGAGCCACCTAGGTGCCCATTTCTCACATTTTTATTGCCAGCTTTACAAAACATAGCCCTCCTGAATACTCCATTCCCTACCCTGTATCTCTCACATCTCCCTAGATATTTAACATATATGCGTTTATCTCTATATAGTTATAGGTAGTCATATTTATATTTTTATGTTGCTGTCACTGTGCCTATACTTACTTATTGTCTTTAGGTGGTTGGTCATGATTTTTTCATGTTTTCTTATAACCCCATTGTATTGTAAGTGTCCTAATGTATCTGAAAATTTGTTATACAGTGTAAAGCACTAACCAAATGTAAGGTATTAAAGATACAAAACTGAAATCAACACTTTGGGTACAATGGATCAACTTAAATTGAATTCTTTTTAAAATTCTATGTGTCCTTCATCCAGATGGCCAACAGACACATGAAACGATGCTCAGCATCCCTCCTCATCAGGGAAATACAAATCAAAACCACACTGAGATACCACCTCACACCAGTCAGAGTGGCTAAAATGAGCAAATCAGAGAACACGAGATGCTGGCGAGGATGTGGAGAAACAGGCACCCTCCTACACTGTTGGTGGGAATGTAAACTGGCACAGCCCCTCTGGAAAACAGTGTGGAAGTTCCTAAGGAAACTAACAATAGAACTCCCCTATGACCCAGCAATAGCACTGCTAGGAATTTACCCTAGGGATACAGAAATGCTGAGGCATAGGAGCACACGTACCCCAGTGTTCACAGCAGCACTCTCCACAATAGCTAAAACATGGAAAGAGCCTAAGTGTCCATCAACAGATGAATGGATCAAGAAGATGTGGTTTATCTATACCATGGAATACTACATGGCAATGAGAAACAATGAAATCTGGCCATGTGTAGCAACATGGATGGACCTTGAGGGTGTTATGCTGAGCGAAATAAGTCAGGCAGAGAAGGACAAATATCATATGTTTGCACGTATAGGAGGATTAGGAGGAACTTGACGGAGGAACAAGGGGGAGAAGAAGGGTGGAAATGGTGGGAGAAAGGGAGAGAGGCAAACCATGAGAGACTCTTGAATGCTGACAAAAACTGAGGACTGATGGATGTGGGGGGGAGGGGGGAATGGGTATGGAGGAGGACACTTGTGGGGATGAGCACTGAGTGTTACGTGGAAACTAATTTGACAATAAACTATTTGTAAAAAAAAAAAAATTCTATGTGTCCTTAATAAAGTATAAGAAAAGTTAGTATAAATGGAACAGGAAATGATCATATACAGGTAACCTATGGTTACAGATATACTTTGCTCTATAATTGGGATATTAAGTCTACTCAGTAAGTTAGTGCATTTTGCTCAGTTTTATGTTTCGTTATTTGAGAAACACAGCATAAAGTAAACTGTAGCATTAAAAGCCAGCTTCATTGCAATTTATTTTTATAGCATAGTGCAAAACAACCCAAGCTGAAAGTACATTCAGGCACTCAGACTTAAATCCCTAAAGGTAAGAAAGTAGTTCCATAAACAGATGTGATCATGGATTCTGAGTTTATTTGCTTGTGGCAAAAATAAAAGTACCAACTCAATAAGTTTTAATTTATAGGCATCTATACCAGAAAGCCTTTAGGCACTTTGAACAAAACTGACTAAAAATAAAATTTAGTAAAAAAAAACAAAACAAAACCCAAATCTGCCCATTCTCCACTCACACCAGGGAATATAAATTCTCAGCTGGGTAGAGGAGAAATTTCTCTGTCTTTTCTAGGTGCTTTCCTGGAATGGTAGCTATGCCCTGCTCTAGAAGAGAATTTTATGATTGAGGGCATTCCTAGACATCTGAGAATATGAAAGAGGAACTATGGATGGTCACTCTACATCCAGGCTTTCTGATCACTATGGCACCACCTAACCTATAGTCATACAGATATGTAGAGCTTTCCTCTACATGTTTTTCACCCAAAGGAAATATTATTTTCCCATTTTCTTTAGCAGGAAGTTTGTATATATACATATATAACCTACATATGCCTAAATATATACCTACACATATAAACTGGGCTCGTACCTAAATCTGAATATCAGGAAATTCTATGATTCTATCACTGGTCAGATGATAGACTGGAAATCCTTATATTTGTTCTGTAAATAATAGAACAAATAGACAAGTGTGAGGGCCTGATGTTGCAGGCCCACTTACCTCACATTTTGTTCCTCCAGGGTCTCACTTGTGAATTCCAGTATGTCAGCAGCTGTCCCCACAAACATAAGGAGAAGTTGAGAGAGTTGGTCCCGAGTAATGCCACCTCCGATGGGTAGGAGCCATCTTCCAATTATGAGCATTAGCAAGAATGTCTGATGGAGTCCCAAAGTCCAAACTTTCTCACACACTGTGGATAAGTTATTTACAAAAACTCTGGCCTGTATAACAGAAATGTCATATGGAGAGAAGGATGTTAGCTACCACCTTGAGGAGAGAAGTCATCTTCACCCGGCTTTAAATCCACAGCTTTTGTGGAAGGTCATTTGCATAAAATGATTTTTCACTTACTGAAGGAAATAAAACTCCTTTCAACTGAAGATTCTGGAGACAAAAAGCTAAGATAGTCCTTAGAATGGGGCAGCCTTATAAAAAGAAGTAATTTAAACCTCACACTTGCTAGTAGGATTGTAGCATTTCGTATTTAAAGAGCCAATGTGATGACGTTTTAAAGATCATTTCTCATTTTACTTTCTCTGTAACATAGTATAACACAACACATACCAAAACTTTTTAAACACCATATTAAAATCACAAAAAGATTCTTGTATTATTCTTTTAGAGATTTTGGGTCTGAATTTAGTAATCTGGGAATATTTTAACATGATACAAATCTCTTGTTTTTTATTGCTCTAAAACACTACTACAACCAATGAGAAAATGTATAATAATGTTTTTAATTACCTAAGTGTAAAGAAAGGGAATAACAATAGTTGTTATGTTTGTTTTGAACATTTAACATAATTGAAAAATTTATAAGCTAGCAACCAATTTTTATTCTGCCCTTAATCTTGTATTCTGAGAAAAATCTACACCCCTTTCCTGTATTCTGAATGATATCTCTTGCCTATTTAACTTCTAAATCAGTTTTAAAATACATTACTGGCCTTCAGAGACTATAATCTTTTAAAACTATAGAAATACTGGTCTCCAGTGGATTGGATAGTTGATTCTAACTGATTTATACAAGTAACTTAACTATGTTTGTGCAAATCTATTTACCCCTCTTGATTGCTTACTGATGTACAAGTAAAGGCAGGATAAGACAAGGCAGGATGCTAACCTGATTGAAGCCATGCATGAACATCAGTGATCTTTCCTTTACACACTATTTTGTATTTCTTCTATGAGACTTCATATACATCCTACTCAATTCCTTTTTAAAATTTTTTTATGTTTATTTATTTTTGAGAGAGGGACAGAGTGTGAGTGAGGGAGGGGCAGAGAAAGAGGGAGACAGAATTGGAAGCATGCTCCAGGCTCTAAGCCATCAGCTCAGAGCCCATTGCAAGGCTCAGACTCACAAACCATGATATCATGATCTGAGCCAAAGTGGGATACTTAACGGATTGAGCCACCCAGGCGCCCCATATATCCTACTTAATTCTTATAGGAAGCATACTAGTGGAGTAAATAATTTTCAACTGTCAGAAGAAAAACTGAGACACAGAGAGATTAAGTGATTTTTTTTCAACATGGTATCATCCAGCTGTGATTGGAGCTTGATTTAGAATCCAGTTGAATTAGATTGAATTAAATCTTTTAGAATCAATAATCTATCTTATTGTTGAGACCATGGCTCATTGGTATGGGCCTGAGCCTTAAGTCTCTCCCACATATCATTATCTAATAGGCCATGGTTAGTTTGATAAATATCAGGCATGTGAAGAACAAAGAAGTAATACTATTTTTCCTGAAAATCTTTCCTATTTTATTATTGTAACACTTTTTTAAATATTTTTAAATGTTTTTATTTATTTCTGACAGAGCGAGCAAGAGCGTGAGCAAGAGAGGGTCAGAGAGAGAGGGAGACACAGAATCCGAAGCAGTGTCCAGGCTCTGAGCTGGCTGTCAGCACAGAGCCCGACACAGGGCTCAAACCCACGAACCATGAGATCATGACCTGAGCCAAAGTCAGACGCTTAACTGATTGAGCCACCCAAGTGCCCCTGTAAACTCTTAATATATATATAGGCCAGATCCCAATATTTTAACTATATCATTCCTTCATCAAAAATATATAACTCCCTTTGTCTGACCTAACTGATAAAGGTTACTTAGTGCTTCAAGTTAAATATACCTATTAATATATATGTATGTTAGATATGTATGACTATTATGCATGTTAAATGTGTTTAATATATATAAAAATACAATTATTTTGCAAAATGTTGAGCAAACAATTAAATGATTGTCAAATTTCCTTAAGAAAGAATGAACTGAAAGGTGTAGAGCATGTTATTCTTGGCAAATAAAAAGGTGCTTTGCTAGATCCTTTAAAATACAGTGGAAAAAGCTCTCACCGTCTTAATGAGATCACCTGCTCCATTGGATTGTTCGCTTGACATCAGAGTTTGATTGAAGTTTTCTTTGCTGCTGGTATTTTGTGACGTTCCTTCAGACTGGCTACTGCAATGCTAAGAATTTTGTAAAAAGGCAATATGTTGAAAAAAAAAAAAAAACAACCCACAATAGGTAGAGTTCAAAATGGCTTCAATTATCTAAGAGATTATGAGTAGATATGTGGAGTCTACAAAGCATGAATAAACATTTCCAAAAATCAGATGATATTCTTTAGAGAGAAAAGCACTTTTCAATTAATATGAGAGTCAACTGTACATGTTTTATTTTCCCCACAAGTCTATGAGGATGTAGAAGCTCCAAGTTCATTGTGCAGAGCTGTAGAGTTTTTAAGTTTTCATTTTAATTCCAATTAATACACATACAATGTTATATTAGTTTCAGGTGTACAATATAGTGAATACAATTTCATATATCACCCAGTGCTCATCAAAAGTGCACTTCTAAATCCTGATCACCTATTTAACTCAACCCCCACCCCTACCTCCTCTTTGGTAACCATCAGTTTGTTCTCTATAACTGTCTGGTTTTTTTGGTTTGTTTCTCTTTTTTCTCCGCCTTTGATCGTTTGGGTTTTTTCTTATATTCCACATATGAGTGAAATCATATGGTATTTGACTTTCTCTGACTGGCTTATTTCACTTAGCATTATACTCTCTAGCTTTATCCCTATTGTTGCAAATGGCAAGATTTCCTTCTTTTTTATGGCTGAATAATACTCTATTGAATATATACAGCACCTCTTCTTTATCCATTCATTTATCGATGGACACTTGGGCTACTTCCATAATTGGGCTATTATAAATATGCTGCTATAAAAATCAGGGTGAATGTATCCCTATGAATTAGTGTTTTTGCATTCATTGGGGAAATACCTCATAGTGCAAATGCTGGATCATAAGGTACTTCTAGATTTAACTATTTGAGGAAACTTCATACTGTTTTCCACATTGGAAACTGTACCAGTTTTGCATTTCCCATTGGAAACTGTACCAGTTTGCACAAAGGTTCCTTTTTCCCCACATCCTCGCCAACACTGTTCTTTCTTGTGTTGTTGATATTAGCCATTCTGACAAGTGTGAGGTGATATTTCATTATAGCTTTGATTTGCATTTCCTTGATGGTAAGTGATGATGAGCATCTTTTTATGTGTCTCTTGACACATGTCTTCTTTGGAGAAATGTCTTTTCATGTCTTCTGCCCATTTTAACTGGATTATTTGGGTTTTGGGTGTTGAGTTTTCAAAGTTCTTTATATATTTTGGATACTAACTCCTCTGAAATATCATTTCCAAACATATCTTCCATTCAGTGGGTTACCTTTGAGTTTTTTTGATTGTTTCCTTCACTGTGCAGAAGGTTTTTATTTTGACATAGTCCCAAATAGTTTATTTTTGCTTTTGTTTCTCTTGTCTCAGGAGACATATCTAGAAAAAAAATTGCTACAGCCAATGTCAAAGAAGTTAGTGTCTGTGTTCTCTTCCAGGATTTTTATGGTTTCAGGTCTCACATTTAGGTCTTTCATCCATTTTGAATTTATTTATGTGTGTGGTATAAGAAAGTGATCCACGTACATTTTTCTGCATGTCGCTGTCTAGTTTTCACACCACTATTTGTTGAAGAGACAGTCTCTTTCTTATTGGATATTCTTTCCTGCTTTGTCAAAGATTAGTTGACCATACAGTTGTGGGTTCTTTTCTGGGTTTTCTATTCTGTTCTGTTGATCCACATGTCAGTTTTTGTACTATTACCATACTGTCTTGATCACTATAACCTTCTAATAGAACTTGAAGCCTGGAATTGTGATGCCTCCAGCTTTTCTTTTCTTTTTTTAAATTGCTTTGGCTATTTGGGGTCTTAGGTAGATCCAGACAAATTTTAGGATTGTTTGTTCTAGTTCTGTGAAAACTGATGTTGGTATTTGAGAGTTGTACAATTAATGGGAGTGATAGTTGGGTTTCTTTTCTTGAATCCTGGAACAATTGCAAAACAAATCAACAACCAATGACAGCATTAAAACATGTATGATCCTGGTCCAAAGTGTTTATTCTAAGAGTTTATTTCTTGTCCACAAGGCTGTTTATCTAAAATACCATTTGCTTAAGTAGGTAATCCAATTACATTCAATCTTGCCTGTTAAGCACTGTAACAACCAAAAAAATTATCATGTTCACCCATCAAAATACACATTTTAGTGTCAGTTTGAAGGTCAACTTAGGTTTATGGAAGATTTGACAAAGACCTAAACTGGAAACTGGATGTTTTTTCCCCTCTTATTCCTTCATTTTGCATGTAAGCTTCTGCAAGTGAACTGTGCATGATTTATCCAGATGCTGGCAATCTGAAGTAGAGAAAAGATTTATTTATAAGAGAGAAAAGGGGTGGCACTTGAAAATGTAACTGTAGCTACTGCTATCTTAACAAACTGTTCTAAAATAAAAGATTGAAGATTTTTTTTAAACATCTGCAGGGTTAACATACTTTTGAAACATATGCAAACATATACACACAGCACTACCATCACCACAACCACCACCACCACATATCCACAGTCATGTATTTGGGTTTAGAGAGAAACCATTTTTTTAATGCTAATGCCATAAGAAGTATATTATTCTTAATTATTTTGGATACTGCATCGGTCATTCTATAAACTACTTGAAAAAGTAAAAAGAAAGGTTGTCAAGAAGCTATTTTTTTCTACTCTCATGAAAACAACTAGTGTTATGGGTGAAATGACAAGAATAATTAGGAAAAATGGCTATATGCCGTATCTCTAAGAGCAAAAATCCAGCTATTTGCACACTGGTTTTTTTTCTGTACAGCTGAGCCTCCAAGGAAAGATAACAAAGATAAAAAATTAAATCTTTGAGCCACGTAACAAATCCTCATTGCATAGGAGCTTTGTGAGAATCAAATGGGCAATAGGAAACAAACTTTGACCACTTTTTTTTGCAGGCATGAAAGTACAGTGTATATTAAAAGTGGTGACCTTCATATGTTTTATTTATATCCTTGTCACCAAAAATCCATAGAAAGTTAACTATTTAAATAAAGTCATCTGCACCCCAGTAGCAAATAGCTTTGTAGTTCATATTAACATATTACAACCTGAGTCCCATTCCATTTTTGTAATTCTACTTGTTACAAAACAATGAGATTTTCCTTGAAGTGGCAACTGTGGGTTAGTTAGGACTGCAAAGAACAACTGATTTGATTCCTACAGCCTAACCCAACTTGTTTTTATGGTAATAGTGTTTATATTTCACATTGTATAGGTGAGTCATTCAGATGATCTGGGTGCCAACAAACCACCTTTGCATGGGCTATGTCTTAAAATTCTTATTAGCTTCAAAAATATTCCTTTGGGTCAAAACTGACGATAATACCTTCAAGACTAAGAAGTTTTCAGTGTTTTAATTTTACCCCTTTATAAATAGACCTAAGAGTTACAGTCATAGTTGCTGTTTCCAGTTCAGAACCTGTAGACCTAGCCAGATTCAGAAATGAGGGCACAGAATTGATCATTTAAGAGGAATCTCTTCATGATGTTTTACTAATGCCAAGACATCGGTTAGAACATTTAGGATGCAGAATACATCGAAAAAGAAAATAAATTAATTATTCTTTCTTGTCATGAAAAAAAAGTCAGATGATTTTGTTTCAAACTCCTGTAAAACATAGAAAACATAACTCAGGAAGGCAGTATGGGTTAACAGAGTAGGGATCAAGACCTAGGTGCTAAGCCCCAGAAGTGTTTTTGATTAGCTGTGTGGTCTTGAGAAAATTACTTAACATTTCTGAGTCTCAAGGTATTTTTTTTTTTAATATATAATAGAAATATATATACCATGCCTAACTTATGGAGCTTCTGAGTTCATAAAGGAGAAATGTATTTGGAAATACTTTGAAAAAAAGGATTAGATAAAGAAAAGTGGTTACTATCACAACCAAAAATGTTTAAATGAATACTAAGAGAATTGCTGTTACCTCCCTTTATTCTGCCATTTCTTGTTTCTTTAAATGAAATTCCAGTACTGTTTTGTCTTTCTTTCTCTTACTTTTTTCTACTTCCATCTCTGCCCACCCTGCCCAATTCAATCTCTGGGCATTCATTTTAATTCTTAGTGTCAAAATGAGTCAAATCCATTACTACTAAAGGTCCAATTTCTTTTGTAGTATGAAAATTGGAGAGGTACTGCCTGGGGCTCAAAAATCTTTTTTTATTAAAAAAAGAGCTTTTGGTTGCATGCTATTTGTTGTAATGGGATTTGACCTGTATATCAATTAACTGTGCAACACATTTATATTATAAAAGCGTTTGGGGAAATGAATTGTTATTGTGGATGATAGTCATGTTATAGAATTGGATGTGAAGGAAAGAAATGATTCAAATCACCAGAGCTTATTTCCATAACCCTGAAAGTAGTAAGTAGTAAGGAAATTGAAATAGTCCCCTTACTCCTCATGGTACAGTTTTTAAAAACCATGATAACTTGAGCCAGCCAATCTATTGTTCCAAAAATATTTTTGCTACAAACATAGAGATAGCCTATGACTTTAATACTTTTTTAAATAGGAGATTTAAGGCAGATAAGTGTTTTCTTTATGCCTGTTTTATTGGTATGTGCTTGTGGAATTCTTCAAATATAATCCACAGAGTTAAATTCCCCTGTGTGTGCCTAAAATTTGGAGCAAGTATTTTCCAGATGCAGTTTGAATATCTGGAACATATATAACAGGCTTAACTTTGCTATAAAATAACCAACTATAGCTCCAATCTGTATAGGGGCAAAGTCTTATCTTGACTAAAGCATTTTATCAGTGAAGGTACTAAAATTATATTATACCATAGCTACAGTTCATCCAAAACCTAGTCCCATAATCTGAGGCCTTGAATATGTGAAGTCCAGGCTGGAATCTCATGGGATCTGCTATCCAGGTTAAAAACAACAGATTGTGAGTCCGTTCCAGAGCCTGTGACTTAGGGTTGCCCATTAAGAAGTAACTCACTTAAAACTTAGTAGCCCTTTCTCTATGTATAGATTAGGGACTCTTGTTGGAAACCACTGTTTATTTTCTAAGTCAGTGTGGTCCCCATGCACATAGCCCACCTTTCCCAATGGCAAGTCGCATACTCCTCTCCTTTAATTTGAGTGTCTGGCTCCAAGACAGAATTCTTATTTCACCAAGACAGATCATGGGACTCTCAAAAGGGAATCTTTTGTAATCTGTAGATGTCACATATTTTAAGATAAACTATTTAATTTTTTTTATTTTTTAATGTTTTTATTTATATCTGAGAGAGAGACAGCATGAGCAGGGGAGGGTCAGAGAGAGAGGGAGACACAGAATCTGAAGCAGGCTCTAGGCTCTGAGCTAGCTGTCAGCACAGTGCCTGATGTGGGGCTTGAACCCATGAACTGCGAGGTCATGACCTAAGCCGAAGTCAGACGTTTAACCAATTGAGCCACCCAGGTGCCCCAAGATAAACTATTTCAAATAGCCCTTCCATATTTATTTGTATTTAAATAGCAGAGTATAGACAATGGGTTTCTATTTTGTTTTTGCTATTTTTAAAAATGTCATTTCATAGGATGCTGGGTTATTGAGCCCTGCCCATTCTTAGTGCCATATAGAAACTCATTAAATCTGCCAAGTTTAAATCCAAATTTTACACACAGCCTGATCTCCATATAAATTCCAGCATATTGGGGGGTATAGGAACAAGATATCTAACATAAATTGTTAATTAACTATGTAATTTTAAATCTTAAACAAATGTAATGTTTTTATTGGTTTTAATAGATTGTGAATTCACTTCCTTTTGCTAATGGCCTGTTACTTATTCAATTCTTCATAACTCCAATTCCTCTGAGAAGTGCATTTTTGAGACAAATTGGATTATAGTATGAAAGTAGTTTATTGATGAATTTTCCACTTTCCTACTTATCAATAGGACATACCTGGGTCTCATGGTGCATTTCAAGAAGCCATAATGATGGAACAATGCTAATCAGATATAAAAATATGGCTGGTGAAAACCTGTGGAAGAAGAGAAAAATTAGTTCAGTTTTTAAAAAATAAATAAATAAGAAAACAAAACAAATGCACGTACCCTGATCACATCCAGTCAATCCTTTTTATCTTAAGTGTTTATTTCAATGAGGAAAAAAGCATTATGTGATTTCTGCCATATGGATTATAGAGAAACAAAGTAACTGCAAAAGGCACTAGCAGCTGTCATTCTCACTGAATTTCTAATCCAATTAATAGAAGTTAATTTTAATATGCTTTAATGGGACACTGCCAACTAGTTGCAGGCACAAAACTGGATATTTTGTGTTTAATATGTTTTACAGATAGCAAATACAGCAACAGTAAATCTTCTTGGATTTCTCAGCTTTGCAATTGCAGGAAAATTGGCTACATTTTTTAATATTAACCTAGAATTCTGAGAGCTCAAATAGTAACATCCTGCTAGAACATAAAACTCAGATGATAATGAATAGGAATGAGCAAAATCAACTGACGTTGTGTATATCTGCTAAACCTAGTAAAAATAAAAATGCAAACAAACAACAACACACGACATGCTTGGTATTTTTTTTAAGCCTATCTACATTCATTATTTTCTGACTCAAAATTCAGAAGGAAGTCTAAATAGTGGGCTTTTATAGTCAAAAATATTCAGGGTCAAATAACAGTTTTGCCAGTGACTCTGTTTGCTTCCTAACCCACAAAATGGGGACAATCACTGTATTAGTCATCTTGGACTGCCATACCAACATACCACATATTGGGTAGCTCAAACAATAGAAATTTATATTCTCACAGTTCTGGAGGTTGGGAGTCTAAGATCAGGGCTCAAAGATGGTTGGGGGTTGGTGATGTCTCTCTTCCTGGTTTTTAGAAGCCACATTCTTGCTGTGTTCACAAGCCCTTTCCTTGGGTCACATGCACATCACATGGAGAGAGACAGAGAGAGAGAGAGACAGAGAGAGGGAGATCTCTTCTCCTCTTAAAAGTCTACCAATCTTATTGGCTTAAGATCTTACCCTTGTGACCTCTTTTAACCTTAATAACTTCCTAAAACCTCTATCTCAAAATAGAGTAACACTGGGGGTTAGGGCTTCACCACATGAATTGAGGGGAAACATAATTCAGTCCATAATTGTCACATTTATTCCACAGAGGTCTTTATTATACTTTCCGTAAAAGCAGTGTCTGGCAGAGGTGTGCACACCATAGTAAGTAACTACTATCAGTATTTTTATAGGACATTATACAATGAAAATATGTACTTAGAAATTTGAAATAAGATACAAATAATATAGAGGTGCCTGAATGACTCAGTCAGTTAAGCGTCTGACTTCAGCTCAGGTCATGGTCTCACAGCTCCTGAGTTCATGCCCCACGGGGGGCTCTGTGCTGACAGCTTAGAGCCTGGAGCCTGTTTCAGATTCTGTGTCTCTCTCTCTCTCTCTGTCTCTGTCCCTCCTCCATTCATGCTCTGTCTCTCTTTCTAAATAATAAAATAAACATTAAAAAATTTTTTAAAAAGATACAAATAATATACTTCCAAATTTATTTCTTCAAATTGCACTTTATTTTAGATTGGACTATTGCTTTATAGACCATCTCAAAGTCAAAATTGTAAGCTAATAAAATTTTATTAAAATACTTTTAGTATATGCATGTGGAGGTTTAAAATGAACTAAAACTTAGAAATGTTAATTCCTCAACAAATACAATTATGTGAGATGAAATGGTATTAAAACCATATTATTATAACCCAGGAGAGAAAAGTGAGCAAACTTAAGTGGAAGAAAAAATCTAGAATGGACTTTTTAAAGGCTCTTAACCCTTTCACTAATACTGCCTTTTAATTTCTGGGGAAGAAGAAGGAAGAAAGTACAAAAGAAATAGAAATTTTTAAAAATCAGTATTTAACATAGAAATTCCTCTATCTTTGATTTCCTGAAAAGAACAAATTTTGAAAAAAAAGTTTATGAGTCATGATATTATTGAAATCTTGGCAGATGGCTGGGCAACAGAGAGATAGCAAAGGCCCCAGGTTGAACATCCCCTTAAAAAAAGGAGAAAATTAATTCCTTGGCCTTACATATCAAGGGAAACACCAGGAGACAGTATTTCCTTTGTGCGACTGAGAAAGGAAAGGAATTCCAGTTGCAAGGACATTTGGAATATGTAAACATTTGTCCTGCTATGTCAAGTGTTGACTGGACTGCAGTTTTGTTTACTCCCTTGGGTTTAAATTTGGTATTGACTCCCCTGACAATACCATTACAATAATATCTAGGGAAACTATAGACTGAACATATAATAGCTCTTGAACAAGGTTAAACATATAACAACAACTCTTAACATCTTCTATGCATGAGACTTATTGCTATAATTGAAAAATAAAATACTATCCTATTTCAAGGTACTTCCTCTAATTAGAAATCTGGTTATGTCAAAACACTAACAACAAAAACCTTCAAGATCCAATATTTTCTATGTTGCCTGCCACAGAAAAATCTAAATTCCATAATCTGGGGTGTCTGGGTGGCTTAGTCGGTTGAGCGTCCGACTTTCGCTTAGGTCATGATCTTGCGGTTCCCGGGTTCGAGCCCCGCATCGGGCTCTGTGCTGACTGCCAGCTCAGAGCCTGGAGTCTGTTTCAGAGTCTGTGTCCCCCTCTCTCTCTGACCCTGCCCTCCTCACGCTGTCTCTCTCTCTCTCCTAGAAATAAAAAAAAATAAATAAACTAAATTACATAATCTGATATTCAAAGCCTCCATATTCTAGTCTTTCCACTTTCCTTTTCTCTTTCTGTGCCATATCCTCAAAACAAAACAAAGTATTTTGTATAAAGTTCCCCTCCCTTCAGTTCATCTTCATAGGCTTTTTTGACATAAGTGAAAAGAGGGTAGAAAGATGCAATCACACTGAGAGCCCAAGAATTTACCGTATTCAACTCAGTCCATAGCCTTTCTCTTCACATGTCCCATCCGCTTAACCCTACACCTGAGAGGATTTGCCGGAATTTCAGGTAGAGTTACTGGTGAAATGCATAGCACCCCAAAGTGAATAATAGCAAAGGAGCATCGAGAGCTTCCTTCTCTCCTTCCTCTCTCTCTAACCCCCTGTAGCAGGCTGTCATCATTGTGCAGCTGGAATTAAATTTAAAAAACAGCAAAACTTATGGAGAAAATAGAAATCTCTATTATCTAGGGAAATATTAAAATGTGTCTAAATGTATTGTATTTTGGATATGAGGATTACATTTCAGCCACATATAGCATATGTTTTGTTTGACTATGTGTCCCTGTTAAGAACAAAGTGCTCCATTAGCTTGATTAATCTGAGAAGAGAGGTTCTGAAATGGCTTTAGACCAAATGTCCTTCCGAATTATGACTGCCTGATATGGATTGCTGTCCTCTTGCATCTCTACCCATCAACAAACTACCTGTATTTCAGAAGCATAGCAGGAATTAATCTTAGCTTGCATTTCTCTTATGACCCAACACATTCTCCACTATTTCATGGTTATGTGTATATAAGCCTTAGCTTTCTGAAAATAGGCTACTTGAAGGGAGATTTTGAGTCTTATATATTTTTATGTCCCCCCTCTTACTTCTCATGCATCTTTTCCTCTTCTCCGTGGTATCAGGTGTCTTACTAAGTATTTAATAAATGCTTATTAAGCAATTGCTTAAACGTTTGAATCTGTGAGTTTATGAATAAGGGGAAGACTAAGCAAATGGAACGAATGAGGGTACTGACATCTACAAGGGCCTTTTATTCCTGTTTCCGGAGATCTAGAATGCTCTTAGAGTTGTGTCCTTTGAGGAATTATTACACTGCAGTAGAAATTTCACAAACCTAGGAGACCAAAATTTGAATCTTGTCTCTTCCAAGGTAGTGGGATTCATTATCTTCTCTGTGACTCAATGTCCTCATCTATAAAATGGAGATCATAACATTCACCTCCTAGGATGGGTATGAGGATTAAATGAGACAGTGTGTGCCATAGGCCTGATAGGTCATGTGCTTAATACGTGTGAGTTACTCCCTTGTCTAGGCTCCATTCTTCAAGTAAACTCATAGCTAAATATCTGGTACCTACCCAGAGGGCACCAGTTTAAACGACTTTTCTTCAAATAACTCACAATCAATCCTATGTTCAAACTGTAATTCCCCAAACTAAAGCTATTTAAGACATCTTGAATCAAAGGGAATTGTTTGCACTACTGAGGACATTATTATCCCTAATTCCACATTTGATGTTAAGGCAATTACTGTTAAACAGTTGTGGTTTGCATGGGCTGTTTGCCATGTTGCATGGTCAGGGCCCAGCCTATCTCTTGGGCTTTGTTGCTTGCCGTGTTTCCTCACTGTGTTCCTATAACACTGTTTTTCATTCAGTTCTGGAGAAAACCTATGTGCCTTCCTAACTCAGGCCTTCACACATGTATTTTCTCCCTTGAAATATCTATTTATCCCCACTTTCCCCCTGTTTATCTCCTTCTCACAGCCCATGTCAGGTGTATGGGACTCTATAGACAAACTTTCCTCATCCTTCTAGTCTAAATTAGATTTCCTTATCATGCTTGTCCGATAGCACTCTTCACTTTTACCCCATAGGTCCTCAAAATTTATAATTGTATGTGTGTGCACAGATGTGTGCGTGTTTGCTGTCAGTTGTCTCCTGGCAATTGTAAGTAGTATCAGCAGAAAAATTGTGAGTGCATCATTATACCCTCTGCCTCTCCCACAGTACCTGGCCCAAGGTGGGTTCCCTATAAATATTTATTGATTTGATAAGGCCTTGGTTAATTTATTCTACTTTCTTGACAATCTGTTGCTGGTTTAGCTAGAAATCTCCTCTTAAAATATCATAAATGGAATTTGATCAGAAGTTTTATTGAAGGAAATTAATTATTCTGTTCTTATATGAATATAATGCTATTTCACTACTATTAAAGATTTAATATTTCAAGGTGACATTCTAGCCATTATTTATTAGTTAGAAAGC